ATCTTTTCGAATCATTGAAGTGGTCCTTAAAAGGGCCGTTGGGTGATTTTTTTTTCTTTAGGGTTTACTCCCTAGGTGACTCCCTGTCATCAAACTCCAGTCTTCTTACCGGTTCACCGAATCCTCTCCATGGAAATGGATTATAGCGACAAAGAGGGCACCCCAGTCTTCTGTCAATAAGCCTGGCCGAGCATAAAAAACAGGCGGGTCTCTGCCGGCACTGGTCACAGACATAATTACTTTCCTCGTCTTCGCAAAAGCACAAACTACAGAAGATTGTTGATACGGGAACTTGTACTCCCCAGGTGGGGATACAACCCTGAAATCTAGTCTGGGTCTGGGTCTGGTGATGGTGGTGGACCTCATTCACCGTGGTTGGGATGGCAGGTGAGGGTGATGGCGATTCCGGGGAATCTGGTAGATTAAAATTTCTACCCTCTTCCTCGGGCCTTGGATGGTATATAGGCCTCAAAGTTGGTGTCCGTGGTGGTGATGGTGCCCTTGGTGGTGGTGGAGGTGGAGGCGGCGATGATCTAGTTCGCTCAGGCCTTACATATGGGGTCCTAGATGTTCTTCTTGCTGATCTGTTGTTACTAAGTTGAACCCGCATCATTGGGCATCTCAGCAGTTCTTCCCCATCGGAAATTCTTCTCACTGCGTAGTAACAGACAAGCTCAATTCCGGGAATAAGAAACAAATCTTCGTGGAATTCTTCAGTCATCGTCTCTGGTCGCTAATAAATCAGCTAGTAACGAATGACAGTTAACAGCTGACAAGCGTTGGTATTTATACACACAGCGCGACCCGAAAAGAAAGCACCCAAAAGCCCGGATGTAAGAGAGCTTAAAATATCATGGAAAATTCAAAAGTGTGTTATTCTGTGTTTGTGAATACATCTGTTGGAGTAAATAAGTTATTATGGAATTATAAATACATTCAAACCTTCTAGTTAAAGAATGAAGGTAAGTTTTGAGGATGATTTCACAGTATTATTCATACATGACATTCCTCCGTTGTTTAGAACAGGCTCATTCATGCCGAAGCGAAGCCCTAACCTTGAGTGACCTGAATACATAAAATAAGGAGTTAAGTTATTTTAAAAGTGTGACACAAAGAAAACTTAATGTATATAATAAGATTGAACCTAAGGAAAAGTGTTGATATGGTTTTTAAATCAAAAGAATCCTTACAAGTGTAGAAATAAACTTAGCGTCTGTCTAAGCATAAACACAAGGGAGGTCAAAGGTCAGCCATTTTCAGAAAATCAGTGTATAGACTTGTATAGAGCATATAAGATTCTTTTCAATCCTGACCTTTTAAGATAAAAATTTTGAGATGAATACAATCGGAAACTTATTAAAACAATTTGTATACACTTTATTTGCAGTGGGAAAGTTTAGATTTTTAATTAAGAACAAAACATCTCAGCGTCTAAATGTATAGACTTGTATAGGGAATATAAGATTCTTTTCAATCCTGACCTTTTAAGACAAAATTTTTGAGATTAATAGAATCAGATTGGTTTAAAAACAATTTTATACACTTTATTTGCAGTGGGAAAGTCTAGATTTTTAATTAAGAACAAAACATCTCAGCGTCTAAAACTCATATATATGATGACGTCATATTTGTATAGAAATAATAACAAAAAAGCTTAGTGTCTTTTCATCCTTTTATTTTTTTGTTTAACAATTGTTCCAAGTGTTGAATTCTCTTTTGAAATCTTAATCGATCCGCTACTAGAGCCTTCCATTCACTTTTCCGATCTTCGGGTGGTAAATAATGAATTTCATTCAAGTCTGTATTAAAAGTCACACATTTCTTAGTAGGTCTGATATTTCCAGAGATTTCATTCCGTATTGAATACAGATCTTCTCCATCGTTTCTATTTCTTTCCAAAGTAGAATCACTTTGCTCCCTTCGGGATGACATAGAAAACTGTAGGGTTTTTGTAAATATTGCATCATGTTCATCCCGTACATTTTTTCGGGTAAAGTCTTTTTCATTCGTTGACATAGGAAATGAATAATCGCTAATCTCCCCACTGTCGTACGATGGGATAAAGCCAGGCATTGTAACCACAAGTCCTGAGTTGTTTCTATAATGTTGTCTGCTTTCTGAAACACTTGTTCCGCTTCGGGGGGTAATGGTTGTTCCTGTTGTTCTAGACATTGCATTAAAGTATCATAACTTTCCAACACTAAAGTGTGATAGTGTCTCAACATGATATCAATGATTTTAAAAAAGAATGTTTTTATGAGCTTATTTATACCTTTTGGTTTTTTTCTATTTATAGAAATAAACCAATCAAGGTAAAAATAGAATAGGCTAAAGTTAAGTTTTTTTTTTTGCACACGGTACTACTGCACAGGTGTTTTAAGAATCTTGAATAGGTGCCAAGATTAAGTACATGACCTGTGCAGGTGTTTTAAGAATCGGATCTCGTGCTTAATATATATATAATTATAGTAACAAAAAGGTAAAAATAGTTTTTCAAACTTGAATCGGTGCCAAAATTAAGTACATGACCTGTGCAGGTGTTTTAAGAATCGGATCTCGTGCTTAATATATATAATTATAGTAAAAAAGAGCTAAAAATAGTTTTTCATAAGGTATATAAACTCAGAGTTAAGTCAGTTATAGCATCAGTCTTAAGTTAGCACATGTAGAGAATAGACATGGCAGAAGCAATGATAATATTATTATATTATAATAATAATATTACAGGTCAGAATTATATTCCACCTCAGAGTATAGGACTGGGATATGCCTTACCCACGGCACCTGATACACAAGATCTCATCGGATTGGATTTGGGACTTTATAATATGCCAGAGCCCATGACAAAGGATGATATGGGCATCTTAACCACGACTCTGGATGGCATTGTCAACATGCTGACTCAATTGAAAGAGTACAACACCAGTGAATTTTGTTTGATACGTGGGAAATTGTCCCGATTAGAAGTTAAAGTGACTAACATCCAGGAGAAAATGAATGGTGGATTTTATCAGAAAAAAGAGAGCAGCAGCAGCAGCACAGGAAAAAAGACGAAAGAAACAGATCCATGTTACATTTGTAAAGAGTTGGGACATTGGGCTCCAGACTGTCCCAGAAAAAAACAGGATTTGTGTTACAAATGTGGAAGAATGGGACATTGGGCTAATGAGTGTCCAGAAGATGATCAAAAATTAGTGAAAGAAGTACAAAAATTAGAGAAAACTCAAGAGAAGAAAAAAAACAGGACAAAAAGATTCAGGAACATCAAATTCCTACCAAAGGCACTAATTAAAGGAAACTTGAGAATACCAATGTAAAGGAGAAACTAAAATTGAAAGTCCAGAAAAATAATTGACACTTTTTTCCTTGTTGTGAATAATTGCTGTGAAACAGTAAGTTTTTTTCATGTTTTGTGAAAAAAAAATTGTGATATTCCTGTTGTAATATGACTGTTTCTCTGATCTTTTCTTGTTTGTGTAATAATGACGTCATTATGGACATACTTGAATCGCTGCCAAGACTGTGTACGTCCTGCGTATTAGTGAGTAAGCAAAAAAATCCTTTTGCACAGTGAAAAATTTTTTTGTGATTTTCGTGTTGTAATATGACTGTTCTCTGATATTTTCTTGTTTTCTTTTAATATTGTATTATTTGTATCAATAATAAAGGTTTGAAATTGAAAAAAATCTTTCTTTTTTTTGATTGTGTATTTTTTTTTTAAAAAAAAAGGGGGGGGCAAAAATGCACTCAGTTGACCCGGCCACCCCATTTTGGGACTTTAAAAAACCCTTGAAACGGTATTCTGGATAGCCTAGGCCAGCCCATTTTGGGACTTTAAAAAACCCTTGAAACGGTATCCTGGATAGCCCCGGCCAGCCCATTTTACATTTTTCTTATTTTTTCCATTTTTTTACCGGCTATAACGGCCCCTATACTCCAGGATAGCCCTGGCTATCCTGGAGTAATCTACTACTTGTATTTTAAAATTTTAATTTGTATTCTTTAATTTTTCATTTGTATTCTACAGTTATTCATTTGTATTGTAAACCTAACAAGTTGGAAATAATAGCACATCATTTAATATGAATATAATTTAGTGTGGTTAACCTACTCTACAACAGATTTTTAAAAGATTTTTTTAAAAATCCTATGCTTTCCTTTTATCCTCAGTTGAGGCTTGTACCCTACCCCTATTCCCGTCTTGTGTGGTTTGATTAACTTTGAATCTACACAATGTTAGGAAAAGTAGGAAAAAAATAATCTTCTCGGTTCATGAGAACGCCTTTTTTTATTTGCCTATTCCTGATAAAATTTTCTTGGAAAGGGGGATTATCAATTTTCAGTCCCTTTCACCCAAGGTTACTTAATTTACTTTCCATATAGGTCATGGAGAAGAAGAAAAAAAATGCCAAAAATATACAATAACAACAACAACTCAAAAAAGACGACGAACGCTTGAGCATTTGACTCAGGTCAGCTATTCGCAGGAATTTTTGAATTGTTTTCATATTAATATTGCGGTCTTGTTTCTCTTGGAATTTAAAAAAAAAAGAAGTAATAATATCACTACTCCAGAAAAGGTTTTTTATCTAAAAAAAAAATATATCTTATATATTCCACGTAAAAGTTTAAACCCCCCCCCCCATTTATTGTAGCCCCACCTAGCTTCAGTAATGTAGCGATCTTCCCTTTCATATCATTGACTTACCATGGCCATACTGACCCCTATATATTCAAATCATCAGATCATGGCCATACTGATTTTGAAGGTTTCTCATATATATTCAAATTAAAAAAAAGTTTAAACAATCAGAATAGGGGATTTTTTTTATGTCGAACGGACGACAGATTCTTGCCGTCGTCACTGATAACGTGGCTTTGAACCAGTGAGCGATAAAAACGGACCTAATCACCTGTGGTGCAAAATTACCGGAATGCATCCGGATTTGTGATTTCATTCCGAGAATTTTTTGGTTTAGGTTTCAATTCCAATTTCCTGTTTCAGTACAACGTAAAAAAATATACTGAAAACGTTTTAACTTAAGTGTATTGTTACTCAAGTAAGTAGAACACCTTCATTTCCAGAAACTTTTAGAAATAAAGATGAGCCTTGTGAAGATTACATCTATATACACAGAAGGGCTCTCTCGCCACTTTTCAGGACCCAATAAGGGGAAAAAAGTGATCGCTTTAGGAATTTTTTGAAAATCATACCTTTCAACTCATCATATTTTTTCATATTTTGGTTTCTATTATTTGTTAAGACTTGAAACTTATTTTGCATTATTATATACAGGAACATGATTAGTTATGATATATCCAAATTATTTAATATATGTTCTCTAATTGTTGAGTTATATGTATTGGAAAAATAAACACCTTCAGTTGGAAAAAACAGGTAAATTCCTTGAATTTGGAATGGGGCATTTCAATTACCCAATTATAGACAACTGAGACACCATAAAAGCTCAAAGAATTTAAGTAAATCTGAATTTAAAAAATTATCGGCTTATACATTATGTCTGTTGTGGCAAGCAGTAAATCTAGTACTCCTGACTTTCTCAGATTTCTATTGATATTTTCCATGCCGCTGTACAGAATTGCTTCATACTTGCCAGACAAATTTTCTGAGTTGAAATACATTCATGCATACTAAATATATCAACGATAATACATATAAAGTGATAATCAAATCAAGAACTTTTGATTTCTGACTCCCGATTGTTCTAGATTGCGATTTTTCAACAATATTCTTCATTTCGCCAAAAAGAATTCCTTCCAACATATTGGGAATATTTACTATGTTGAAATTCATTCCCATGTACATAAAAATATTAATAATTTTACGTATGATAATGCCATTCTGTCCAAAAGTGGTAAAATTTAGTACTCATTATAAATATAGAAACCAAAAATGGATACTGATTCATAGAACTGCTCAGTTTGGTCCATTAATGCCACCATTCCTAAATTTCTTGATATTTTTTGTTTATGCTTATTCAGTTTAACACAGTGAATGCGTTTGAATAGTTTGAACCAAATCTATTGAGCGATGTGGAAAATATCAACGAAAAACATGAATCCAAGAGATTTGGGAGCCAGTAGGTCTAGATTTACCGTCTGCCCTCAGTTGGCTCTAGGGGCTTGATGGGAGCCCATTGCAGTGGTGTCTGAAAGAGGAACAAATGACAATTCTACAAGGGAGATTGTCAAAAAATTAAGCTACAGTTTAGGCAGATCTTTTATTGAAATTTTTCTGTGAATAAAACAAATAGTGGTAGAGTAGTACAGCTGTAAGAAGTAGAATGTCATAATGCTGACTTAAAAAATGACATTTTTCATATTTTAAAGTTCAATACCTATTAAAATACAAAAGCAAGTAAGGTTTTCTGTCATTTCAGGTTAGATATAATCCACTGGAAATGGGGAGATACAGCTCCAGCCCTGATGTCAGAAGAAGGAAGGCTTCGTACTCTAGCAGCGATTCCTCAGTAGACTCAGATGACAGTTCTCGTGAAAGAAATAGGTCAAGGTCACGAGACATACAACAAAGGAAAACAAAAAAGAGTCAGAAAAATAGGCGCTCAAGATCAAGATCAATTGATAGAAAAAGACACTCTAGGTCAAGGTCATTTGAGAGAAAAAGGGATTCCCGTTCTAGATCAAGTTCACCTGAAAGAAAAAGACGTTCAAGGTCAAGGTCATTTGATAAAAAGAGACGCCAAAAATCTAGATCTCCTGACAGAGGAAGAAATTCAAATGGTTATTTACACTCAGACAAACGTTCAGCTCATTCACCATGGAGACACAGGTCAAGGTCACCTATTTTTGAACCGTCATCATCCAGAGGGGATATGTATGGACATGATGATAGATCATCTCCAAGGAGATTCAACAGAGAGGAAGGGAATGGTGACAGATCACATCATTTTCATGGTCATGGCAGAATGGCTCGCTACAACAGAGGTCACAATGGCATGCTACCCGACTTTTTTGACAGGTAGGTGAATTTGAAGCATTACTACCCATAGTGATTTCAGATGAAGGGATACATTTTACACATTATTGTTTAAATCATCCTACTGCACAAATGTTTATTCAGTATTCATGAGGAAGTATTTTTATTTTAAACAATGAACTTGTTCAACAGGTTCTTCTTTTATTCATTCCTTTTCTATTTGAAGCTACATGAAATTAAGTATAATTTCACTTAAACTAATTGCAGATGTTGTCCAGTTCAATTATTTGCAAGTGTGCACATATCATTTTTCTTTGTTACACCATACCTTGGTAATTCTATACTCCTATCAAACAAACTCTTCAAATCCAAATTTTTCTTACATTTGAAGCAAAAAAATGTGTTGAAATGTATACAGTACCTATCAACTGTCCTTATATTTTCATGTTGTTGCTCTTTAGACGTAGAGAAGAGAGAGAAAGAATAGGAGAGATGGGAATCTTTGAATGCTGGGGCCATTCACCAACACATGCCTCTATTTCAGACTCAGAGTAAGTGAAAAATTGAATCTATTTTAGGAGAGACACATTTGCTGCACAATTATGAAAAGATACTTATATATGATCAAGCAAAAATATTTGCATCTGTCTACTGTGCATTACAATATAGACCAAAAACACCAGGAAACTAGAGTTCCTAATTCAAGTTTAAGGAATATACACATGTCAGAGAAATTAGAATTGACTAATAATGACAGATATAATTTTATTCATATAAAAAAATGTCTTACTTTCAGATCTGAGTCGGACAGTGGCAAGTCAGCTGGAAGTGATTCTTCCTCAGGTATGCATTCATAAAATTTTATCAAACTTAAGAAGTTGTGGCTTTTTAGGCAGAATATAATTTTCAGTTCAGTTATCAAGGCTGGAAAAGTCAGATACAGGTTTATAAAAAGGAAGTTTTTATTGATAGAAGAAAGAAAAAAAAAATCTTTTTTCTTTAAAGAGGACAAAAAGAAAAGGTATAAAAAGAAAAAGAAGAAAGAGAAAAAACACAAGAAGAAAAGCTCAAAGAGGTAAGTATCTAATACAAATCATCAGAATGGCAAGAACATAAAAAACATTTCTTAATTAAACTCTTTAAAGTAGACAAATGCTTCCATTTTTTTTGTTACAGTAAAACTTGTCTAATCTTGATATTGTGCATTCTGAAAAACTTGCCTATCACATTGTAAATTTGAAGTCCCTGTCATTAAATTCAGTTGATTAAAATGTTTTCTAATTTGGAATGCTGTCAAATCCGGCCAATTTCTGTGGACCCATTGGTGTCTGGATTAGACAAATTTCACTTTAGTAAAGTATTTTATTCAATGTTGATATGTTTAAAAGAGTTTATCAATTTTTTGAAAAAGATGAGAATATGAAAATCTTCTCGAAGAACTATTTTGCTATGAACAAAATTAAGATTTCTTATGATGAGAACAGGCTGTTGTTTTTCTGAATTGAAAGCAAGTGTATGTAAAATACATTTGGACATCTTTAAAAAATTGTTTGGTTGCCCTCTCCTGACCGATTGGCTAAAAATTACCCAACTCAAAACTTTTGTTTTAACCTCCAGGAAGCAATTATTTTTTTCTGCAATCCAGAAAATAGATTTTGAAAAATCAGCATTGATTTTGAACAAAAAATTCTCACCTACCTACCGACTCAATTTTCTCATCCTTAGTCGGAAGAGGACAAGGAAACATTATTTTAAAGTTGGCCTTTTCAGAAATATGAGATTATAAGAACACTTGAAAAGAATTAAGTGGTATAACGGTGACCAAGTAGCATTGAATGAATGATTATATTTTGTCCTTTATTGCCAGGGCTGTCATTGCCAGAAGGTTAGATTGCACTAACAAGTATTATTGGCTTTATATTCTTACTTTGGTTCCTGGCAGATTTAACAGCCTCTTCCAAAAAAAAATTAATTAATTAATTAAGGCTTGATTATAGGACTCACTGTCTTAACCATTTTTCTGATATACTTATGCAGTAAAAAGAAAAAGAAATCCAAGAAAAGGAGAAAGAAAGAAACGGACTCGAGTGCCAGCGAGTCCGAGAGTGAAGAAGAGATGTGGCTCGAGAAGAAAGGTATGTTAACAGGCTACAGTCAAACCTTGTTATCTGGAACTCCAGGGGCCAGGGAGATTTGAGGATTCAAGATGTTATGGATAAAATATCTATAGACAGAAAAAGTGGTTGTGATTTCCAATTCAGTGGCATATCAGTGTTTGAGACACTGAAGTTAAAGTGTATTTCTGAGGTGTTGGTCAATTTTGCAATTAGGAAAGTAACTTTTGTTTCAAACTAATGACTACAACAAAGATTTATCATTGTGTAAACATTTGTGTATGTCATATTATCAGGCAAGCAAAATTAATTTGTAGTAATACTGGACCATTTAAAGAAAGTTTTGTTTGGTGAGGAATGAGATTTGAGGATTTTTTTTTTTCAGTGGACACAGTGGAGGAGGAGGATGTAGTTGGTCCTCAACCTTATCAACCAGAGAATACTGTCTCTAGGATGGAGTAAGTACAGTGAAAACTGTCTAATCTGACACCGACTTTTATTTTCATTCCTATCTTACTATTTTCCATGTTCTTTTCACTGTACACTCCGACTCCCTGGCATAAAAGGAACCAAAGACTTAGATGATTGTAAATCCCATTTCTGCTGATGGAAAGCATGTTATAGGAAAGAAAGATTTTTACTAAAAGCATTAAAAGAACTCACCTAAATTGCTTTACTGGAACGTCAACACTTCAGCAACTTTCATTTCAGTTGTTAACAAGAAGAAACTTTAAATACATGTACATGTAATTGTATTAAATGTTTAAACTTTGTTTTGTTCAGCTATGGTAAAGCCTTGCTGCCTGGAGAGGGTGCCGCTATGGCCGCATATATCGCTGAGGGAAAGAGAATCCCCAGAAGAGGAGAGATTGGACTGACCAGCGATGAGATAGCAAGCTTTGAGCAATCAGGCTACGTCATGAGTGGCAGCAGGTGGGTTTAGATCATCACTTTTAGTAAACATTTTGCTGGCATTGATGGTGGAAAACTCAATTTGGGGCATTTCGGGGTCATGAATTCCACTGACATGTACATGGTAAAAATGTGGAAAGTTGATAATTAACAATATACTACTGGTAAATTCAAATGGTTTTGATATTGCTTATAGACTGTGGTGTATCTTATGCATATTTTTTTGTTATTGAAATGTTTAAAACTGGACTTGCAAGACCATTTTGTAAATGGATCATAATTAACAAAATTAATGTCAGAAGTAGATACAGATATTTGCATTTTATTATGATTAAGCTATGAGTGATTTGATTGGAGTTTAATCTATTCCTGGATTTAGTGTAAACTCCTCTGTGTCATTTCAGACATCGTCGAATGGAGGCTGTCCGTTTGAGGAAGGAGAACCAGATCTACAGTGCAGATGAAAAGCGAGCTTTGGCTAACTTCAACCACGAAGAGAGATCCAAGAAAGAGAAGAAGATCCTCACACAGTTCAAAGAGATGATAAGAAAGAAAACGGAAAGCAAGCAATAGAACCAATATCTATATAATGATTCTAAGAGAGAGAAGATTTTTGCACATACAAGGACTGAGGGTGATACAAAAGAAGATGGAAGAAAAAAAACAATAGAACTGATACTTACTCATTATTCTGTAAAAGAAATCATGGATTCTGAAGTGAGATGTGCAAGTGTACTTTTTGTAATTGTACATACATGTATAAAAGACTTGTGATTTGACACTGAAAAAAATTAATATTATATTTATAAAAGCTTTGTTTAGATTTCTTTGATAAATTTCTTGAATGTATTTATTGAATGTATCTCTCATGATTATTAACAAATAGCATACCAGTATATTGATAAGGCAACTCAGCAACCCACTTATTTTCATAAAACAAAATCTCTTTTTATTTGAACATTGTTATATTTATATTTCTTAAGTCCATACGAGATGAATTCATGCCATAGTTAATCCATATGTAGGTGTACATAGACTACCTACAACATTGTTAAAGGTAGGCTTATGGGAAAATACATGATTGACTACAGGAACAACAACAACAACTAGAAAGTCTGCTATTGCAAGCAATAGCGTATGTCGCCCCGAACTGGCTTTATCAGAAATGGTCTTATAGTGTATTATTCTGTTCTATTAATAATAATTTTAATTTCCTCAAAAACCTCTTTTTTGTTTTATTTCTGATTGATGAACATGAAATACATCAGAACACAGATGTTTATACATGTAACTAACACTAACATATCGGGAGAATCGGATTGTATTGAACGAATAAGATTGCTAGTTTTTAGTCACTACTGATACCGGAAATAATTTAACTAAAACAACTGGTTTATATTAAGATGAAGTAATCGTAAATAAGATGATTTACACACACGCAACAGAAAAAAGCATCACGGCAGCGGAATATAAACTCATATATTAGGGAAACTTGATTTACAAAAAGTAAATTTTACATCTCTGCTCATCAGTACAGAAATTCAGCTATTAACTAATTGAGTCAAAGGCAAGCACATTTCAATGAAAATTTATTTTGGGTTTTTAGTAGATTTAAAGTCGATCAGAGGTTGATTTCGGGTTAAGAGAAATATTTTATGTTGTTGTTATTCTTGTGAGGCACGTGCTTGTGTGTGTGTAAGGGGGAGGGTAGTAAAAATGTACAATAACTTTCTTTGACTTTACATTTATTAGTTAAAGGATTTTATTTGAAAACTGCATGTGAAAATAAAGCATTACTCAAGAAAAAAAATAATCAGAGAAAAACGACACTTATCAAAAACATACTTGCTGCATACACTATAAGGAATGTCAAAAACTGTGGTTTTAATATATTTTATAATAGTTGTGCAAGTTCATTTCATTTCTTAAAATAAGGTAGCAATGCTCAATAAATGTATAACTTGTATAATTATATTGTAAAAAGAAAGAAATATCGTTTTCTTATAATTTCAAAAAGTATTATCTGTTAATTGGATTTTAAAATACATTGCATCATGTCATGAAATTGACATCAGAAATCAAATGGAAATTTAAATTTCTGTTTCTAAATAGACATTTCATTTTTTCATCACTAAAGCAATAACCGTTAGCTAAGCTTGGACAACCATCAACTCGTATCAGTCCTTTCAGTACTTTGATTAAAAGAAACTTCTGATGCATTCGGCAAACCTCGGCTGATTCCGTCACCTTCATCAAACCTCGGCTGTACGAGGAAACTTGATATGCGTCTCCGCTTAACATTTGTGATCAGGCTGCCTGTTTACCGCTTAGGGAAAACGTAACGCTTTGAAAACGATAATAAACATGCATCTGACATACGATAAAAATTTTCAAAAGCATTTAGGTAACACTAAGAATAACATTTACCAAGAAAAATGCACTTAGTATCTTTACATAATCACATGTTTGTTAACGGATCGAATTCAGCACACTGTGCACGTGTATATGTAGGGCGCAGCCATATTGAGTATAAAGTAGCTCCGGTTCAATGGAGGTTTACATAATACAGCCGAGGTTTGATGAGGTACGAATCGGCCGAGGTGTGCCGAGTGACTTCTGATGGCATACAATGGTCACGTGACCGCGACTTTTCTTAAATCATTTGTTCCTTACCTGGCGTCAGCGACAAACTTTGAAAAAATAAAATATCCCATGCACAACTATGGTTGGTGATTTTTATTTTGTAAAGTTTCATGAAGATTTTGAAAGCCATTTACGAGAACGCTCGAGTACAAAACTATAAGGTGAACCAAACTACGACTTCGTTCCGATGGCTGAAGCGATGGGCCAGCTCCAATTTTTTGCGGAAAACAATTTGATCCAGTACAAGGAATAAATCTTTAAAGTTTCCAAAAGATTGCTTGCGTAGTTACTAAGAAAAATAGAAATTAAAGAATTTTCACTTTTCGTCCGTTTCCATGGCAACGGTAGGAATTTAGAAAAAATTGAATGTTGACTGCACACCTATGGAGAGTTGGGGGGATTGGGAGTCCTGGCTGTGATTGACTCAGCTGTGCTGAGAACGTATCCCAGTCTGAATGTGGGCAAATTCCTGCAGCTCTCAATATGGACAATCATAGATATGCTTGCAAGAATAGCAGAATGGTTAGAAATTTAAAGAATGCCAAAAGAAAATATCTTTAAAATCTTCTTTTCAAGAACAGCAAAGCCATGTGTAGTTTTACTGATATGGAAGCATCCTCAGGTAGTGTAGATATAAGTTTGTTCAAATGATAACCCCAGGGGGTAAGGTCGGGCCACAAAGGGAGGTCAAAGTTTTACATATAGGAATATAACATAAGGAAAAAAACTTTTAAATCTTCTCAAGAACAGAAAAGCAATGTTTAGTCATATTAATATGGAAGCATCCTCAGGTGTGTAGATTCAAGTTTGTTTAAATCTTGACACCCCCCCCCCCCCCCAAGGATAGGGAGGAATCACAATGGGGAGTCAAATTTTTACAAAGGAATATATAGGAAAAAATATTCTGTTCAAGAACAGCAAAGCCATTAGTTGAATTCATATGGAAGCATCCTCATGTAGTGTAAAATTCATGCCCCCCCCCCCTTTATGTTAACTTTTCAATACTCAACTGATTTGTGCTTTTTCATAGCCAATGTGCTCAGCTGAGCGATGTGGCCAATGGGGCTCTTGTTCTGAAG